GTGGGATCGAGCCCTATATCAGGGTCTGCACTGACAGCACTGAGCCTACTTGGGATTCTCTCCCTCTCTCTGCCCCTCCCCCACTCACTCTCAAAATAAATAAACTTAAAAAAAAGAAAAAAGAAATAGTTGTTTTGGTACCAAAATTGGTGTAAAGAATCTTCAGGGAAATAAATCCCAACATCAGTGTCTTTGGTTTCTCCCACATAATATATTATGTGTATACAAGCAAATACATGTCTCTCCCCCTCCCCCCCCCCCCCCCCAATAAAAAATAAATAGTGGCATACCACATACTGTTCCCTGTCATGCTTTTTCCACTTAGTATATTCTGGAGATACGTGTACTTAGATCTGGTCTGATTTTCCATTTTTGTATCATTGATGTTTCTGTTTATCTGCCATTGTGATAGTTTTAATTATTATGTTTGATATCTGGTAGGGCTACTCCTTCATTACTCTTGTTTTAGAGTGCTCCTTGCACGCTTGCCTGTTGATTTATAAACTTAATGTGATTTTGGGAAAAGCAGATTTTTTTTCTAGAATTCATCTGGTTAATTATAAAATTTATATTTTGTTCATCTTTCTCTGTGGTTGAACTTGGAACCTAATTGGAAGATGATTTCCTTGAGAAGCTCTGAATTTGCTTTGCCAGGAATTCAGGCGTGTTCCTAATACCTTTCCTGCGGTCCCTACTTTGCCTCGAGGCCATGGCTTGGTGCATTTACCCTCTGAGCAACCATGCCTATTATGGTCAGCCTCATTTTTTCTTCTCATTTGGTATTCTTGGAGATTTTTCTTATGTTCTATGAGGCCAACAGCGCAACAAGCATTACATTTTGTGCTGGGTTAATTTACTTTGTTGCAATAGAAGATATCTTCTATTTAGCCTACCAAGAGGATAGAGTGGAGATCACCTGATTATTTTATAAGTATGTTTGTTATTAATTTTGTAGATTTCCCAGTCTCGTTTTCTTTAGTGGAAAGAGAAATATCCTTTCCAATCTCCTGTAAAAATTTGGGTTTTGTTGTCTTGCAGCTTCTTGTGGTGTCTGTCATTTCGTAAGTTGTCAGAATTCATTCTTCTATAGCAGTGTTTAAGAAAGTGAGAAGAGAGGCAGAAGTCATAATATTTACTTAAATTTATTACACACTAACTTAAAAGGAGAAGAGGTAATGGCACAATCCTTTCTAGCATTTAAACAAAATTCCGGGGGCACCTGGGTGGCTCAGTCGGTTGAGCCACCTACTCTTGAATTCAGTTCAGGTCATGATCTCACAGTTCATGGGATCGAGCCCCATGTCCGGCTCTTTGCTGACAGTGTGGAACCTGCTTGGGAGTCTCTCTCTCCCTTTGCCCCTCTTCCCTTCTCGTGCTGTCTCTCTCTCAAAATAAATAAATAAATAAACATTAAAAAAATGAAGTTCCAGTTTTGGAGTCGTGCAGTATAGCTACTTATATAGGATTTTAATTCACTAGGAGACTAGGCTGAAAGAAAGTGCTTTTCTGACAAATGAAAAATAACCAAAATATGTTTCCTGGAACAGGTGATTAAAACTGAGACTTGTTTGAGCTTAAAAGGATTGGGGATATATAAAATCACTATGTATTGATTACAGATTAGGTCACATAGCATTAAACTTTAGTGCTACATTGACTGACATTGTGTCAGTGAATAGCATATTTGATGTCATTTTAGCCTAGTTGAGTGGTTTTTTTTTTTTTTTAATTTTTTAATGTTTATTTGGGGGGTTGGGAGGGCAGAGAGAGAGGGAGACACAGAATCGGAAGCAGGCTCCAGGCTCCGAGCTGTCAGCACACAGCCTAATGCAGGGCTTGAACTCACAAAGCGCGAGATCATGACCTGAGCTGAAGTCGGACGTTAAACTGACTGACCACCCAGGCGCCCCCTAGTTGAGTGGATTTAATGAGCTCAATGGATGATAAATAAAACTTACAGTGCTAATTATAATTTCCCCTCCAAAAGATAGTTTTCTGTTTAGAAAAGAAGTGCCTGTGCCAACTTACTAGATTCTTTCGGAAACAGTTCATTGAAGATACAATTTTGAATTTCAGTGAAGTGATTTTTATGGAGAGCTATTAAAACCCACATGAATCCAAGTATTCTAATTAAGTCCTTTTGGTCTGAGATTTTATTAAATTACAGACATAATAGATTAATGTTTCTTTAATAAGAACATGTACAGATAATAATAATAGTATCTCATTTCTTGCTTAGTGTAGCTAATTTGTCTAGCAGTTTTTAAATTGCTGCATACAAATCCCAAATGTTTTGAAATGGAATGTTGAGGAAAAACGTTTGAAATTGCTTAGCCTTTGGTTTTTCTTTCCTTGTCATTTCTGCTAAATAGCAATAGTATGTTGGGCTTTCTACAGACTGTAGTTCCTTTAAATTTTGCTCTGTGTTAGATCAGCCTGGTTTTATTTATTTTGTCAAGTTTATTTACTTATTTTGAGAGAGAGTGCATGCACAAGCAGGGGGAGGGATAGAGAGAGAATGAAGGAGAGAATCCCAAGCAGGCTCCACGATGTCAGCGCGTCAGCATGGAGCCCGATGCAGGGCTCAGTCTCACAAACCCTGAGATCATGACCTGAGCCCAAACCAAGAGTCAAACGCTTAACTGACTGAGCCACCCGGGCGCCCCTAGACCAGCCTGGTTTTAGATAAAATGTGTATATTTTTTAATTGAGATATAATTCAAATACCATGACCTGCCCTCTTTTAAAATATACAGTTGAGTGGTTTGTGGTGTATTAGCCACATACAAAGATGTGCAGTCATCAACACTGTCTAATCTCAGAATATCTTCATTACCCTAAATGTGTATTTTTATTGTGTCTATTACACTTTAGATAACTGAGCAAGGGAGGTAATATTTTACTTTCCTTACTTGTATGTATTCTAATTATTTATATTACTAATATGTATACTTTTCAGAAAAAAGGATCAAGTTTTGTATCCTTCAATTTTGAACAGAATCTCCAGTCTGGCATCAGAGTATTCTTTGATTTATTTACTTCTCCACAAATAAATTGAGTTGCCTATCCTGTGTGGTAAACAAGTTATTACGATGTCGCGTGAGAACTTCCGTAATAAAAATACACACAGTATTCAATTCACAGAATCCTTGAGACAAGGTGGGAGCAGCAGACTATGCAGGGAAGCTTTACAGAGGAGTTCATGTTCAGAAGTAGGTGTTGGCATCTTTGTTAGAATTTGCTAGAAAGAGAAGGGCTTTGGAGGTCAAAGTAAATAATAAAGGGCAGAGACCTAGTTAGCATGTCTCACAGATCTTTGTTAGTTGTGATGTAGGGCGAGAATTTGGCAGTCCGGTAGTATAGGTGAGTATTCAGCAAACAGTGGAGGACAAGTGGGGTACTTAGGTAGTCAGCTTTTTTTGTGTCGCACTCAAAACCTTGGGGAAACTACATTTTTTGCCTACATTTAAGAAATCTCGAAGAGCATTAAGAAGTCTCGAGAAGCTGGTAGCAGTCAGTTAAGCATCTGACTCTTGATTTTGGCTCAAGTTATGGTCTCATGGTTTGTGGGTTTGAGCCCTGTGTCGGGCCCTGGGGTGAGTGTGGAGCCCGCTTGGGATTCTCTCTGCCCCCTCCCCTGCTCTCTCTCTCTCTAAAGAATTAAAATTTTAAAAAGAAAGAAAGAAAGGAAGGAAGGGAGGGAGGGAGGGAGGGAGGGAGGAAGGAAGGAAGGAAGGAAGGAAAGAAATCTTGGGTTGAAGTTTCTTCTATGTTCTGACTTACAAAGTATTTAAATTTTGTAACCACCTACCATTGCTTCTAATATAAAATTTTAAACCAAAAATTTCATGACCATACCCATTTGTTCTTAAGGATTTTTTCTGTTTTTTTTTTTTTATTTTATTGTTTTTTTCAAAAAAATTTTTTTTTCAACATTTATTTATTTTTGGGACAGAGAGAGACAGAGCATGAGCGGGGGAGGGGCAGAGAGAGAGGGAGACACAGAATCAGAAACAGGCTCCAGGCTCTGAGCCATCAGCCCAGAGCCCGACACGGGGCTCGAACTCACGGACCGCGAGATCGTGACCTGAGCTGAAGTCGGACGCCCAACCGACTGCGCCACCCAGGCGCCCCCAGGATTTTTTCTGTTTTTAAAGTGACATTTTAACATTTTGTGGTTGTACTTTATATTACTGTTCTGCTGGGGCACCTGGGTGGCTCAGTTGGCTAAGCGCCTGACTTTGGCTCAGGTCATGATCTCGCGGTCCATGAGTTCGAGCCCCATGTCCGGCTCTGTGCTGACAGCTCAGAGCCTGGAGCCTGTTTCAGATTCTGTGTCTCCCTCTCTCTCTGACCCTCCCCCATTCATGCTCTGTCTCTCTCGGTCTCAAAAATAAATAAACGTTAAAAAAAAATTTTATATGACTGTTCTTCTTAGGAAGAGGAAATATTTTAAAGTTAAAATTGCTTTTTTGGAAAGTTTTTCTATTTGAGAAATTTGGGATTATTTGTCATTATAGTAAGTAGGATAGCTGCAACGTTATACCTTACTGAAGATATACCTGAGTTTTATTTTCCAGATCTATTAATAGTGAACTACCTTGGTCTTCATGCAGGAGTGAAAGTCCAGCAGGAATAATGACATTGGGGCAGATTGGTACACCTTCATGAGCACACAGAACTGCGACAGCAGGTGGCAGTAGACATCAGGTTTAAGCATGAGTTGCAAAGATTTAACTATCAAAGGGGGAAGGGAAGTAAGGTGTATTGGGGGTTCAGGAAACAGCTGGCTATTGGCCTGTTTAAAGATGTTTGTTTAAAACCAACTACTTCAGGGGCACCTGGGTGGCTCAGTCGGGTAAGTGTCAGACTCTTGATTTTGGCTCAGGTCATGATCTCACAGTTCATGAGTTCAAGCCCCACATCGGGTTCGGCACTGACAGTGCAGACCCTGCTTTGGATTCTCTCTCTCTCCCTCTCTCTCTGTTCCTCCCCCACTCACGTGTGTTCTCTCTCTCAAAATAAATAAATGAACTTAAAAAAAATTACTTCATAATAGAATTCTTCACAGAATAAGAGTTCTGTTTCCAGAAGAAAGAGAAACTTGATGTCAAATATCCCCCCTCTCCCCTCACAACTAAAAGGTGGGAAAATATGAGGGCATTATCTGAGATCTATATAATAACTTCTGCCTTTTTGTTATAAATGAGTATCGCTTTGTACCAGCAAGTACCTAATGTCAGGGGTTAAGAAAAGTGGATATGATTGGGTGAAGACTCCCAAGGAAGAGAGTGGGTGGGTGGTAGTTTGTGTATTCACTGTGACTTCCTTAGATCCCCTTAATATAGATACGGGCCTTCAAGCCAGATTTGTGGTGTTCCTAAGGCTTTAGTTCATTCAAAGTCTGTTACCTAGATTGAGATTATACAGATTAGCAAAAGATGATAATAATGTCAACAAAGATTTCAGAAATGACAATATTGGTAAAGTGAAATAGTAACCACTACTCACTCATTTAAAACAAAATAGGTTCTGTACTATTAAATTTGGTCTTTTTCTATTCTTTTTTTTTTTTTTTAACAGCCAAAATATACTATGTATATTTCACCGTCATTTTTGGAAAGCATCTCAAAGTCAAGTAGACAAGTTTGCAATACAAAGTTCCGGCTACCGTTTTAGGAGGTGTGCAAAGGCATTTTGATACAAATGCACAGATGGTAGTTATATACACCAGAATATTTTAGCTATTTGTAGCCAAGCTCCATAGAATTAGTAACATCTCAGTATACGTGAGAGCAGAAAGATGACCCTAACAATGACAGGATTCGGTTGTAACTTTTCACAGTAAAAGCAGTGACACAAGACAGAACCTCCTTCTGCACCCCACCTTTTTATCTTATTGGCAAAATTGCTGAGTGATTATCCTGTAGTTCCTTATCCAGTCCTTCGTTGCCTGAGTAGGGTTACAGAAGACTGCTGACCCTGAAGACAGACAGAGGCTGAAAACGAGGAGCCAAAGGCAAAAGGGAGATTGGTTAACTTTTTCTAAGCTGCTTGTTACTGTGACTGCTGAGAATTGTAGGCAACTGGAGACTCTCCTAAGCATACCTGGCAACATTTTTCTGCTAGTTTCAGTCTCAAGAGGTAAATTATGTAAGATAAGAATGAAAAATTAGAAAAATAAATTTGTCATCAAGTTGCTAAATAGAAAAAGAAGTTTTAGTATGCAGTAGAGAAAGGAGGGAGGATGAGGGGGTGGAAAGTTCCCACTCACATGTCACCCAGTTCTATGAAACGTCCCCTGAACTCCAGCCTCTTTGCTTCCATTGCGTGCGTGTGTGTGTGTGTGTGTGTGTGTGTACATATACATATATACATATATAATGTATATGTATATATATGTATATATATATGTATGTATATATGTATATATGTGTATATATGTATGTATGTTTTAACTTGTGTCACATTGTAGTGGAATTTTTAGTTTGTCTTTTGTTTACTAGTGAGAAAATGCTCCTTGAGTGTCACAGTGATCATTTTAGTTTTTGCATTTAATGGTCAACACAAACTGCTTTAGAAATAAATCATTCAGATTATGGACTGTGTTTTGAAATCTGTAAGCATTAAAAAAAACAACAACAAACCAAACACCACCAACACCACCACCAAAAATACACCCCTTAAATAGTTTGGGAGTAAGAGGACTTGTTTCCCTGGCATTAAGATAGTGCTTTTGCGGGGCGCCTGGGTGGCACAGTCAGTTAAGCGTCCGACTTCAGCCAGGTCACGATCTCGCGGTCCGTGAGTTCGAGCCCCGCGTCAGGCTCTGGGCTGATGGCTCAGAGCCTGGAGCCTGTTTCCGATTCTGTGTCTCCCTCTCTCTCTGCCCCTCCCCCGTTCATGCTCTGTCTCTCTCTGTCCCAAAAATAAATAAACGTTTGAAAAAAAAAAATTAAAAAAAAAAAAAAAAGATAGTGCTTTTGCATGTATTTTCCTAGCTGAACTACTCATAGGTACTTTCTCCTATCAGTTACTAAAAGCGTATATTAAAACTTTAGGTCTTTTAAAAGCAATCTATAGTTTGCTCTTTTTACGAAATTAGTATTACCTGTGGCTGTTTCATGAATTTCCTGGTAAAGCACAACTTTGGTGACTACCCTTAGAAGACCCATCCATCTATCATAGGTCAAACAAAACCTTTATTTCAATATTTTACCACAACACAGAGTGGTAAACTGAGCTGTCTGTAATATCCCCGTTCAAAAACCCCACATTACCTTCTGTAAGAAAACAGTTTCAGGTGTCAAACACCTTTTCAAGGCAGTTAACACATCTTAGTGACTCACCCTCTGAAAGGTGGTGCCAGTACTGGGTGTGCCCGAGTGACACTGTTTCATCCTTACTGCTGTCAGGTTATCCCACGGCCTCCCCCCCCCCCGCCCCCCGCTTTTAATCACTTTTTTTGTGTAGGTTCCTTAGCTCTGTCCAGGGAATTTGAGACTTGCTAAATAGGAGAGGGTCACATTCTCTTCTCTTACCTGTGCTTTGAGTTAGGTGCCATCTGTGCGCGTAGTCTTTCCTATACCCCCTTGTGAAAAGGTCCAGGATACAAGACTGCGTTACTCCGCTGCTACCTGTCCACTCCCATCCTCTTGTTGTCAGCAGTTGTTCAAGCGGGAAGGCCTGATGGTGTGCGGCTATCTCCAGGTCCTGTTCTGAATGAGTCCTGTTGTCTCACCGTCATATCTATCCATTGTTTATCTTGGAAGCTGCTTGAGCCAGAGTTATTTTGTAGCAGAGAGGAGGACAGTTGGCACAGAGCCCAGCTTCTCGGGGCAGCAGCAGAATATGCAGATCCCCCTGGGTCTTCACATCTCGGGGAAGCCGCCTTTTCTCAGACACAACACCTGAGGGGCAGCCACGTTCTGTCTGAAGCCTTGGAGACACTCAAGATGCCACTTTCCCCCAAATACTGTCCGCTGTGGAAGCATCTGCTCCCGCAAGTGGAGAGAAAGCAGGCCCCTTCCATCGTGCTCTGCAGACGTGGCCTCATCAGGTTCATTCTCAAGTCTCTCATTTTGCAGTAGAAACCGCTCAAATCGCTGCTGCATTTGGCTGAGTGAGCAGTTCACTTTCTCTTTGCGTGGTGGATGTTAGGGGTCTCTGCTTGAGTCCGTATCGTGGTTTGTTTTAATGGCGTACAAAATGAGGGATGGTGAAAGTGAATGTTTCTCATTTCATTGTTGATCTTGCTAATGGAAAAAGTCATTATTGAACCAAATTGGTAAAAGGCATAGGTTTCCTTAAGTCCCAGGTAATTCACACTGACTTGCTAATTCAGATGCTGCTTTTTATGGTTGCCTGTCCTTATCTTTTATTTCATTTTAATGGCCGTAAGTCACTCACATACAGACGGCCCCGTACGTGCACGTTGCCAACTAATTTTCAGATAAAGCTGCCTAGTAGAAACAAATGAAGACTTCTGGGGAGACATCAGAATCGAAGGCCTTATATGATGAGGTAACAAAACATAGGGATTTTATGAAACTTCCTTAATAGAGAGAAAAGGTTGGATACATGATGAAAGAGAAGTTGTTTCCTGTCTGACCTTACTTTGTGAGTCAAAATCCCAGGCGGCCTATTTCTTAATTGTACCTCTTTCCCAACTAGGGGTTTGAGGGGAGAAATCCTGAGAAAAAGACCATAGATGGATAAGTGCTGTGCTGCTGATTGTCACTTCAGGAATGAAATAGGCCTAAAAAAGGGTCGAAAGACTCGTCCTCCTCTGCTGTTGACACCTGGGACAGATGGGCCTCTTGTGTCTGTTCCTGAAATCCTGTTGATGGGCTGGAAGAGCTCCTTGCTGGTGGAGGGTGACATCTGATAACGATTTCCATGTTATCGTTGCTGTTCTTTTCTCATGCTGTTCTCTGAAGGAATTAAACTTCCTCTGGTAATACAAGTGTATGAGTTGACTCTCAATTATAACAGGAGCAGTACGGTACGCTGAGAATGAGTGTGGGTGTGCGTGCACTTCGGTCTGAAACTCCGCGTTCAAGTGTGGCACCTAATGATTTTGTAATTCAAGAAAAGCCCGTTTGAAAAAATACTTGGCAATTATCTGTTAAAACACTTGACTTAATCCTCTGTATGTCAGGGGTGCCTGGGTAGCTCAGTCAGATAAGTGTCCGACTCAGTTTTGGCTCAGGTCCTGGTCTCACGGTTTGTGAGTTCGAGCCTCGAGTCAGACTCTGCCACTGACAATGCAGAGCCCGCTTGAGATCCCTCCCTCCCTGCCTCCCTCCTCTCTCTCTCTGTCTCTCTGCCCTTCCCCCACTTGTGCATGTCCTCTCTCTCAAAAATAAATAAACATTTTTAATATTTTTTTATTTAAAAAAATTTTTTTAATGTTTTATTTATTTTTGAGACAGAGAGAAACAGAGCACAAGCAGGGGAGGGGCAGAGAGAGAGGGAGACACAGAATCCGAAGCGGGCTCCAGGCTCCGAGCTGCCGGCACAGAGCCCAACGTGGGGCTCAAACTCACAAACTGTGAGATCATGACCTGAGCCGAGGTCGGACACTTAACCGACTGAGCCACCCAGGCGTCCCTAAATAAACATTTTTTTAAAATCAGAATACCTCTAGATCCATTAAAGGGACCTGGTTAAAAAAAAATAATCTATTTGTTAAATTTTCTTTAATAAGTTTGGGTGAGCATCCAACTTTGGTTCAGGTCATGATCTCATCATTTGTGGGTTCAAGCCCTTGCGTCGGATTCTGTGGTGACAGCTTGGAGCGTGAAACCTGTGTCCCTTCGGGGGCTTCGGATTCTTGTGTCCCTTCCCTGGTGAGACACACACGTTCTCTCTCAAAAATAAATGAATAAACATTAAAAAAAATTTTTTTAAACAATGTTTGGTCAGGGAACTCCCCCCTCCTTTTCTCAGATGTTTTGGTTCTCTTCTGGTGATAGGCTCCTCGCCAAAGTTTGTGCATTTCTTTAAGGTATTCTCTGAGTATTTTCAGGAGCCAACTTAAGATGATTGCTTACTTATATTTCTAATTTCTAACATAGTTTTACAAGTAACTTATGTTACTTACAATCATTGGGGGGAATTTTGTCCGTAAACCTTTTATTTACATTTTTTAGTGATTGTCCCAGAGTTTGCACCACTTAGTTACAGCTGATCCAGGACCACTTCCAGATAACACTCTCACCTCTCGGGCACCTTATAATAACAACATAATTAGATTCCTCCCTCTCCTCCCTTGTCCATATCATGACTGTCATTAATTTTACTTCTGTGGAAGGACTTCTGTATAAAATCATACCTTGTCAAATACATTGTTGCTGTTATCTTAAACAACCTTACCTGTTAGATCAGTTGAGAACAAGAAAAATCAAAGTTTATGTTTTAGCTTTGTTGTTTCCTTCTTCAGTGGTCTTCCTTTTACAGTGTAGATCTGAGTTTTTGACCTATCATTTTCCTTCTATGTAAAGAACTTTTAGGGGCGCCTGGGTGGCTCAGTCGGTTGAGTGTCCTACTTCAGCTCAGGTCATGATCTCACGGTTCGTGAGTTCAAGCCCTGCATCTGGCTCTGTGCTGACAGCCCAGAGCCTGGAACCTGCTTCGGATTCTGTGTCTTGCTCTCTCTCTGCCCCTCCCCCACTCATGTTTTTTCTCTCTCTGTCTCTCTCTCTCAAAAATGTTTAACATCTTGCAAGCCTGGTCTGTCTGCCGGATACAAATTTCCTCAATTTTTGTCAAACTACGTTTTTATTTCTCCTTCACTTTTATAGGATAATTTCATAGGGTACTGAATTCTAGGTTCGTGGGTTTCTTTTTTCTAACACCTTAATTTCAGTCCAGTGTTCTTGCTTGCATGGTTCTGAGATGAAATTGGATATAATTCTTACTCTGCTCTTCAGTAGAAAAGGTGTTTTTTTTCCCCTCTGGCTTCTTTCAGGATTTTTTTTTTTTTTATCTTTGATTTTCCATAGTTTGAAAAATCTGTCTACATGTATTCGTTTTTGTTTTGTTTTGTTTTGTTTGCATTTATCCTGCTTAGTATTCTCTGAGCTTTCTGCACTTGTGGGTTCAGTGGCTGGCATGAAATTTGGAGAAACTATCGGTCATTGTTTCAAATATTTTCCCTATTCCTTTCTTTCTTTGTTCTCCTTCCGTTATTCCCATTATGCAGATGTTCCAGTGTGTGTTGTCCCACAGTTCTTGGATCTTCTGTCCTGGTTTGTTTGGGGTTTTTTTAGTCTTTTTGTGATTAGCTTTTTAGTTTTGGGGGTTTCTGTTGAGATATCCTCAGACCTGGAGACTGTGTCCTCAGCCATGTTTAGTCTGCTAATGAGCTCATCAGAGCCATTCTTCATTTGTTACTGTTTTTGTTCTCTAGCATTTGTTTTGTTTCTTAGAATTTCCACCTCTCTGCTTCCACTGCCCCTCTGTCCTTGCATGTGGGCCACTTTATCTACCATCATATTAATCACAGTTGTTTTGAATTTCCAGTCTGGTACTTCTAACATCCCTACCGTATCGAAGTCTGATTTTAATGCTTCCTCTGTCTTCAGACTGTGTTTTTTGTCTTTTAGCATGTCTTGTAATTTTTTCTTAATAGGTGGGCATAATATACTGGGTAAAAGGAATTGCTGTGAATAGACTTTTGGCGATGTGGTGCGAAAGTGTGAGGGGAGAGGAAGTGTTCCTTAGTCCTGTGATTAGATCTCAGTCTTTTAGGGAGCCTGGACCTCTAGACTGTGAACTTCACAAATGCTTTTCAGTTTCCTCTTCTCTCTCGAGGTGGGACAGGATGGCTAGAGTAGGGTAGAGTTGGATGTTTCTCTCCCCCCAGAGTTAGTTTAGCAGGAGCTAAAACTAATAAAAGTGGGGGAGATCCCAGTGGCTGAATCTGCTGGAGTTTTCTGCTTTCAGACACGTGTGCACTGAGGCTCTCCCAGTTTGCCAGTTACAGTTCAGGGCTCCCTACTCCGGCAGTGCTTCCCACCAGGCTTTCAGCTCCTGGTTTTCTGCTCTGGTAAATTAGGACTCTCTGTCGGTCACTTCCATCTGGGGGGCAATAGTAGTTTGCCCTGTGACCTCACTTCTAATACAGATCTAAGAAGAGTTGACTTCTCAGTTTGTTTAGCTTTTTACTTTTTGTTAGGATGGAATGGCAGCTTCCTAGCTTCTCCATAAACTTTTTATCTACAAATGTTGCAGTGGAGCTGTGTGTAATTGGGTTATAAGATGATAAAATTGTCTGAATTTCCATCTACATCTCAGCTTTCATCGTGTGGACACTAGTTTCAAAATCTGCCACGTAATAGAACAGTGGGTAGGAGGAACTTTCCAGGAGGTAGCCTGTATAGAATACACACACACACACACACACACACACACACACACTCTCTCTCTCTCTCTCTCTCTCTCTCTCTCTCTCCCTCCCTCCCTCCCTCCCTCCCTCCCCCCATCCCCACCAGGTGCAAAACACTGTTTCAGTGAGTTCCAGTAAAGAAACTACGTTGAATAAGTTTTCCTATACTGATGCTGTTATTGGTAGAGTAATATTAGAGCTTTCCATATCTCAAGACCTCTTCTTTAACACCATAAGGCGAGCCCTTCCCTGTTTCAAAAT